CTTTAGGCGAAGATCTGCATGCACAAACACTACATCTCGCACTCTCTTGTGCTGCATACATATGTTTTCACTTTTTTATATGAATAAACTAGATGTTGACCAGTTTCTCTCGCAGCAGAGGCGGACATCACCTGTGCTAAGACACAAACCACAACTTTTTGCAGCTCCGGAACATGAGCTCCAAATGACATCCACCACCTGTATACTTGGATTTCTTTAGCAGCTGCAACTGCCATTGGTGGAGCAAATAATCCTTTTCATGCACAATACATGGTGTGCTGTTGCAGGGCTTTCATCTGGGACTGAACAGGATATATTCTTTCTATAATTGCATATATTCTTTCTATAATTGCGTGAAAGCCTGCAATGACTTTATTTTGATGTTGGGAAAAATGAGAATGCTTGGGATGATGCATAAAGCCAGCTGTGTGTAGATCTATATGTAACATTTTCCATTTGTCCATTTGTCCATAACGAACTGGTGAATGTGTTTGTGTTTTTTTTTTGTGGTAAATCAGTAGCTTCCACAGACAGATCGATTTGGAACATTTAACCAATATACTTTTCCTGTACAAGGTATTTTTCAGCCAGTCGCAGTAGTTCAGCAATCAGTTTACATACTTTAGTTTTTGTTTCCACTGAGCTCCAAAATGTAGCATTCAAAATCGTGCTTGTGACTGCCTTGACTTATAAACTGCATCATTTAGCTGCTTTTTGTACTCAGGACTAGTTTCCTGCAGAGCATACTTAAAAGTACTCAAATGTTGCCACATCATAAAGTGAGTAGCAACTCTTGTTTGTCTGGACTTTAGATGTTCTAGCTCAGAATGATTGCAAAAACATGCTTGGGAAAACTGGATGAGGTGTGATGAATTTGACATTATCTGTAGACTCATTATTTATATTATCTATACATGGCAGCTTCCCTGTGTCTTCAAGTAAAAGATCCAGACAGTGAGGTTTGCATGGCAAGAAGACAATATTAGGATATTGCTGCTGTAACATTTTACAAGCTGCAACAAAATTTGATGCACTGTCTGTAATAACTTGTACAACACTTTCCTGTGATTCAATGCACTTTAATATCTTGCCAGCAATAAATGATCCGTCTTTGATTTTACAGGAAGTATTCAAATCATTGAGAAAAATGCTGCCGTCACCAGTAGCTGCAAGAAAGTTAACGATGGACTTGTTTTACACATTTGTCCAACCATCAGACAAGTGTAATTCCCAGCTTGACAGCTTCTTCCTCAAAAGAGGCCATAAATTGTTCCATTTGATGTACTTCCCCAGTTTTCAGTTAAAATTTTTATTCTGTTTACTGCTTTATAATGAGGACCACATTTTGCCACGGTAGTTATTGCATCCTTAAATTTGGGGGCCCCGAGTGGCCGAGTGGTCTAAAGCACTGTCTGTTAAGGATCACTGCCATCTCACCTTTGTCTGCGTGAGTTCGAATCTAGGATTCGGCGAATGTGGATATGTGAGAAAGCTTGCCAGTAGCTTCTCGTGGGTCGGTGGTTCTTTCCGGTGATTTCCCGGTTTCTTCCTCCACCATTAATACTGGCCGCCATGAATAGCCTATCGTGTGCTGAAAAATGGCGTTAAGCCCAATAACAACAATAACAACAGCATCCTTAAATTGCATCAAGCTTTCATTTTTTCACTTCCGCTTCTAGTCTCACTGACTGCTGCTTTTGTAAGGCCTGCTGAGTTTACACAGTATTGAAAAATTGACTTTCTTTTCAGCATGTTTCTTTGTGTCACATGCATGTATTGCAGTTTTTAACAGTCCACACAAAATGCTACATCCAATACCCTACATAATACTCTTTCAAACTTTATTGGGACAGACCTGTTATGAACCACATGCAATGCTGTTGTTTTTCATGAAATAACCTTGAAGTCATGATATTTTATGTGTTAGTACAGATATCTGTGCTGCTTGAAGTACTTTGTTTTTCTTTTATGCAAAAGTAACTTAAACCCATAGAAAGAGCAGATGCAGGGTGAACCTTGATGTAATCAAATCCCTATTGAGGCCATTGCCTTTTTTTAGTTTCATTTTGGCAATATCTTAGAATTTAGTTGATGACATCACTATCACAGTCATTTCTTGCCTTTCTGGTGTTTTTCAGTTCATTCTGACTTCACATTGAAAGTGTAATTACACTGAGCACTCAAGTGTCCTTTCCATTCTGATTGTAAAATTAGATTTGTATATGTAATTTTCACCATTTATATTACATGCAGTGAAACAGATGGCATTAAATTGTTCTTGCATTTGAGCATTAATTTCAGATTGTTAAAAATGGGTTGAATAATGTGTGAAATGGGTGGACTGATTTGGTAATTACTAAAATGATTTGTGTAGATACCAACCAAAGCATAAGAAATTATAAGCATTATATTCATTTTACAATGGTCATTGAAGACTGGTTTCATAATGCTCAGACATGTGATTTAAAAACACAATGACATAATGTAAGGCTTAACCCTCCCATAGCTTTAATATGTTTATAATTTTCCCCAAACAGGTTAACATTCCACCTTGAAAAGGGTCACACAGTGTGAGTGTCTTTTTCTTGAAGGCTGAGCATGATTGATTTAGTATCAAATCATCCTTTTACAGCCATGTTTTACTATACAAATATATTTAAAGTTAAGGTACCCTAAAGTTTGCTCATATAACAAAGTATATTGACCCTGATGTTTCAAATAATGCATTGTGAAATCATATATTTTTGTTTTGTGACAAAAAAAAGTCACATATTCTTTGGTGCTTAATGTTTATAAACAGATTGAAATTACTAAAACATGATGTGGTTTGATGCCATTTTTCATCTGATTTCCATAGCTATTGACAAGCTTTCTTACATCTAAGTCTGGAACCCGCATGGACAAAGGTGGGATGTGTGAGTCTAACTCACAGCACTTGGCTTGCATATTTTTCCAGAGGATTTACTTGCACAAAATTTGTTATTTTATTTATATTTATTTCATTAGGCTGAAATTTGGCACAACAGTTCTCAATCAAATTATGTACATAATGGTATAAATTTCATGCTACATGCAGAAATAAAACTCTTGCATAAAGGTGAACATAAATGATGTACTTATGAATTTCTTTCTCTTGCCATGAATAATCCATACAATCCATTAGGAATACACACACAATAATTATCATATAAAATAATTATATTTTATGCACACAGTAATTCCACTTGTCATCTCTTTTGTAAACTTAACCTTCTGTGAATACCTTTCAAAGATACACATATTTTCCTTGTTCTTGAATTACTTTTCTTCCTTAGAATTCTCACTGAAAATTTAAAACCTAATAAAACACTTAATAAACTTTGAACTCATTTTAATCACGTCCTCTGTTATCACCAAATGGCTATTTTGATGTCACTATCAATCTCATCCAATAAAAATCCTGAAAATTCTCCGTCAGTTTGTCAAGTAAAAGTCTGCTCTAACTGGCTGATTCCTGTCAATTTGCATCATTTTTGGATCTAAATATCTTCACTATTTCTGCTGCTATGGAAATCAAATTTTTTTCCCTGTGTTCAGCAGTGTTCCCTCTGTCTATATAAGCTAAAATTTTATTGGTTCAACTGCCTGCATAATTAGAAAATGGCATGAAATCAGCTAATGGTTTGCGACGACTTAACTCGGGCCTGGGATACAAGCTATGTAAACTCTCATTACACAATGTATTGAACATATGCAAGGCAGCATATCTAGAGTTCAGATACATCAGCTCCATTTTGATTTTCTTTCAGCTGTTGCCAATAAACGTGTGTTCCTTGGTAGTTTCAAGACTGAACTTTGTAGTTCGTTTCTGTCTGGTTCTTCTTACTACAGTATTATCCAAATGTTCAAAACACAGCTGCTTAGATTATCCTTTTGAGTACAAGGAACTGAGCATACCTACCCCTCAGTTTTGTAACCTTCACTAACTAGTTGTTTGATCCAGAATAAAACTCAAAGTATGTTGTCTATATTACTTTTAATTGAAAGGCTCCAGTCCATTATATCTATCTGACCTCAAACAGGTGTACACTCCATCTCAAAACTTTTGGTCTTCTGATGACATTCATTCTCATTGCTGTCACTGTAACAACAAAGTCATATGGACAACATTCTACAACAAATTACCTATAGATCTTAGACACAATGACATTGTGTCTTCATTCAAGAGTGCTATTAAGATCACCTCTTTTGACAGCCAGAACAACCTTAAAAACTTACTTCCTTAATTATAGTCAGCATGTTTTTGTTTTGTAATTTCATGATATGTTTTTATAATCTTGTCATTGGTACATGTTTTTATGTGTTATCTAATATAAAGTGCTTAAAGCTTCAAAATATTAGGTGCTGTAATTATTATTATTATTATTATTATTATTATTATTATTATTATTATTATTATTATTATTATTATTATTATTATTATTATTATTGAAATCCCTATTTGATATTTTTAGTTACAACTATGCAGATATGGAGTCATTGGGACCAACATCACATGTTGACCCTATGCAGTTTTCTTTGGCTGTGTAAATATTTCAGTGGGTGAAATATGATACCACAATAAAAATTTTGAGGAAAAAGGGACTGTCATTTTGGAGACTTTTTCAACAACTTATACCTCATAGAGAAAGGTACTTTGGAAAAACTCTCAATCTGATTAAAATGAGATCTCCACTGTCCTGCATGATGATCTGACAGTGACCATTTAGAGGTCATGTTCCATTGACCTATGTTAATAACATGATCACTAATTTTATCAGCTAGTCAGATGAAGTCTTCTATATTGATGTCTGGGAGATTGAGCAGTATGGCTGAAGAGCATCAATGTGAATGAATGATTTGGTTCACTATTAGAGTCTAATACATAATTACACAAACTAAGATCAGTGTCATTCATGTTTTGAGTAGTGTTACAGATTGAACTACTCCTTAGCAACATGCATTATTGTACATAGATATTTGACCTCTCCAGTGGCCTAGTAGTAAGAGTGTCTGCCTCGGAAGCAGTAGGTTGTGGGTTTGATCTCCGGCTGTGTCATACCAAAGACTTTAAAAAATGGTACAAACAGCTGCCTCGCTTGGCACTCAGTATTAAGAGGTTAGTGTTAGGACTGGTTCAGTCTGGTGTCAGGATAATGAGACTAAGTGGGACATCATGCTACATGATGCCCCATTGCTAGACATCACTATAAACTGTCACACTGCAGACATCATAGTGATATGACTGAAAAATTGTTAAAGCCACAAACACACATATTTGACACTACATGATCATAGCAGGGCTCGAATTTAACACAAATTTCTTTGTAGCCATAAGGACTATGTTGAGAAATTTACTAGTCCTGCCAAATCTGTACTAATCCTGTCCAAAAAACAATATCACACACTTGTATTGAGATTAACAACAATATTATTTATAAATAGCATTATCATATGAAATGCAAAAGGACAGAATTATAAATCAAATCCTGCTTCAAATCATCAATCTATTAATTCACATTTCTTGTTTCTCAAGATAATCTGGATCCAATTTGAAAAAGGGATCCAGGTTTCCTTTCTCGTCCTCCACCTGCACTCTGGGGCCATATGGGTTTTTTGTTCAGGTCTTCTTACCTGACTCCCTGAAACATTCCACAAATGCATTGCTGGTTGGATCATTTATTGGAATATCATCTGTATGGAACATCACAAAGAGTAGATTGGACAGAACCCAAGGTTGCAAACATGATCTCCAGTCACTCTTCACCATTTTATATCTGAGAAACCCCTCTCAGCATCAGTATAGTGGACTGGGATTGTTACAATAAGGTCAATCAATGCCAGAATATTCTTGCAGTCAGCAGCACATCATTTTACAACTGTGGACCAATTAAAAGCAAAGATGTCTTTGTAATTGCAAGATAACAGAATACATTAAGAAAATATTAATCTGTATAAATTTACATAAAAAAAATGCAATGTCAATAATTAAATAATGTATATATTAATTTCTTTAAAAGCTTTCTTTAAATGGTTTCCTTTTGCAATCAAGATACTATGCTAAATAAAGAATTTTTAACAAATCTGGCATCAATGATGTTTCCTTTATTTCTTTTTAAATATTTGAATATACATCTACTTGCTGTATACTACACTCTTTAATATGTCCTATTTTAATTCGACTTCATCAGCATCCACACCTGCACTGACAAGTACTGACCAGAAATACTCCACCAAAACAAATTTCTACCTTTCACTTCCAGTGATGTAGTGAGTAAATGAAACAACCTGTTTATCAATCCTGTAAGTCTATCTAATATCAACTCCTTTCATCTCATCCAGCTAACACATCCATACAAGATCATTGAAGGTTCTTCAGTTTTTTACCATATCTCTTTTCACCGGTTGTCACCTGAGTGCAACATTGTTCTGGCAGGCAAAATTCACACATTTTGGAACCTGTAACTTCAGATTGGTACAACAGAGTAATGTCAATTATGGTTTAATGAATAGAAAAATGTCTCAGGAGTGAAACAAGCCATAGAATATGGCCATTTGCATTTAAAGACTTAAATAGCAGAAGGAAATCGAGAGTCATGGAAAGAACAAAGTATTTGGAAGTTACTGACCTTGTCACTTATATAGTATGATAGACAGTGTCCTATGTCAGAAAGGATCATGGGGGTAATCTGAGATATTTTTTTTACTCAGTATGATTGTTTTCCTTGGATTATTTTTTTTCTCAGGTGGTCGAGCACCTATGGTCAAACACATTCAGTTAAAACTTTCCAAGATCTTACCAGCAGTCAATTCTTCTAGTGGTATCTGCATAGCTGTTTTATTTCTGCTCTTTTTGTGTTGTCCAAGTTTCCATGAACGATACTGATTAAATTTTAAAATTCGAGCAACCCATAACAAAACTGGATGTTTTCTCTGCATTTGTTTTTGCGAATTCCATAACCAGTTATACCGCATAACATACTTTTCTTCATCATAATTCAGCCATTCCCTGTCTTTTTTCCATTTCTTCTGAAACGTTATATTTCACTAATCCCTATCATAAGAATTATTCTTCTCTTTTATGTCGTTTTCATTCAACATTTGCTTTTATTCTGGTGGCTGAACATGTTCTATAAAATGCCACATTTTTCCTGTCTTGTAAGGAGTGAATTGTCTTATTTGGAAATACATGTTACAGTACAGCTGATGCAAATTATTTAAAATAAGAAACTGAATATCACAGTGTCCTTTATATAAGAAAGTCAGACCAAGATACACCTTTTCAAAACACGTGACTTTGTCCTCCCCCATAAAATGGACTCTCTCTGATAAAGGCTTAAGCAATTGTTTTGCAGGATCAAAGCAGTGGCTATATAAACACTGTTACAAAATATTAGCACCAGAAGAAAATGTTAGTTTCAGCTTGGAAAAGGTGTGTTTCCATCAAACGAACCTATCTGACTCAGGGCATTCTATATAACAGCTCCAATTATGGTCTCTTTAATAGTGAAAGTTTGGTAAATGTTCTTAATTGTTCCTAAATGTTTCTAAGTGTATTGTTGAAATTACATTTTCATATTTAAGATGCCCATGCTCAGAGTTGTTGTTGCTGTTATAGGGTTTAATGCCATTTTCCAGCACAAGATAGACTATACATTGCGGCCAGCATTAATGGTGGAGTAAGAATCCTGGAAAATCCAGGGAAGAACCAACGACCCACGAGAAGCTACTGGCATGCTTTCTCAGTACCCATGTTAGCAAAGTCTGGACTCAACTCACACAGTCAGAGGTGAGATGGCAGTGATTTGTAACAGTCATTGCTTTAGACCACTTGGCCACTCAGGGCCCCTCTCATGCCCATGCTCAGAGATTTTAATTCTCAACAAATGTACAACATTCTGCTTGATATCTCCATGTGTATTCAATTATTTGTCCAGACTTGTAAAGGGAAAAATATAAAATCTATTCTTTTCATCATATAAAAAGTAGCTGTATGGAAAGGATGTGTAAATAAAGTTATCGTAATAAATTGATATAATTTTTTATAATTGTTTCAATGCAAGTGTTAAATATATAGTTTCCTGTTTGAGACTGTTGGAGTGTTTGGCTATCGAGCAAACCCCCTCAAACCAATAATCAAAGAAACCAGCAAACTTTAATTTTTTCTAATAGCTTTTGCCGTATTCTTTTGTGTGGTATACTGTTTTATAGTTTATTACTGTGGATGAGTGAATAAATTGTGATTCCACATCATTTTTCATATAATTCATTATCAGATTTATTAGGATCAATTACAAAACTTCCATCGTTAATGACGGTACAATAATTGGCACTTTTAAGCAAAATGCACAAATCGGATGGCTTCTTGTTATAGAAATGCACCTTTCGGAGGCAGATATTGACTTCATCTTCTGGTGCTAATATTTTATTACTGTTGATAATGGTTACTGCTTTAATTCTACAGAACATCTGCTAAAGTCAAGTCTTCATTAGGGAATGATGTAAACAAACACTGACTGTTGATTATCAAAACATTACTATTCCAACAGGAAATCTACAAGCCTTGGGGACTACTTAATTTCGAGCCCTGCATAGTAAAGTAATTTCAAAGTTTGGATGATGATTGAAGCCAGTATCAACTATCACTGATTGTCACTAATGCTGATTAATATTCAGTCACATGATTGGAAATTTAGAGGAAAAAAAGCATTGTAACAGAATAGGGATAAAATTTCAACGAAGATGACTCATCAGAGGCATCGGATCCAAGATCTCCTTTATGTCTTATGGCACTATGACCAGCGATGTGTCACCTGTAGAAACCATTCAATTTATAAAATTAAAACATACAACACCAAGGTGCAGCTTTATCTGTCTTTTTGATATGGGAAACATTTGAGAAGATTACAAAGTATATTGTACTTGCCCTTTAAATTCATCTGCTCTCTAATTATCACACCTTGATGTACAAGGCACTATTTGATGTCTGCTAAAAAGGGTCTGATTCAATTATGTCTAGTCTCATCTTGCAGTAAGGAACATCATTGTGTTTTATATTAACCCCATTGGTGTTAGGCAATTACTACAAAAACTTCAGAATCATTTGTTCTGTATTCATTCTTTGTTGATGGAATTCAAATACTTTACATTCTTTTTTGGTTTCTTGCAGCATATTATAATAAAGACACTTCCATTCAAGGTTGAGATCATAATAAGCTGCAGAATTTATTTGTTTGAAACTTTAAAACAGAAAAAAGAGCTGTGAAAAGAAATATTTTGATTTACTCAGTGCCAAGTAAAATAGTTCTGTTTCAACTTCTCACCTTGTATTGAACAGAGTTTGATTTAGTGATGAAACTGTCATTGCGTTTATGTACACATAGGCTCCTTGTAATACCACATGGGGAGTTGATTGCCCAATATAGTTGTTCATAAAAAAAAGGCAGTCAGGTTATTTAGACATTCTCAGCAGAGCAGTGAGAAATTAATGGCTATCAAATATCAGTCTTATTTGTTTGCAAAGTGTCATCTTAAAATCATGATTGTCCAACAATTGAGAAATTAATTCATACTCCTCTTTTCTTGCAGAGTACAGCTGTTAAAACTGTTCATGAGGAAATAATTCTTACAATAAAATGCAAGCCCAGTTCATTGTTGTGTGTACCATACTTGCATTTATAGGAGCATGGCTTACAGCATACACCCAGATATTTTGGTGCATAATGTGCTGGTAGATCTTAATCCAAACAGTTTGCTAGGACTAATTATTTAAACAAATAACAAACCTTAACCAGCTAGATGATGTAATTGCAGATTAGGGTCTGTGTTGCTGACATCTGAATGTCACTTGGTATTCTAGTGTTTTCTAGTCTGTACTCTAGAAAACAGAGCTTACCTGGTAAGGTAAGCAGTCTTGTCTGGTGATTTATTGTTATTTCTTTAATGTATTATTTATTTTTTATGGCACTTACTCAATACCATCCAGAACTGATATCACACATTAAGCCCAAAGATGAGGATCTTTGTACATTCTACTCATGGTCTCACACAAGTAGGTAA